CCCACTAGCTTAGTTGCTGACATTGTAGCATTCAACTCAGCTTATAATATGGAGTCATTTCTAACATCCATTGGAAAATTTATGAAGCTGATACCTGACCATAGACCTAAAAATCTGGAAAAGCTGATCAGGCCAAAATGTCAGGTCCTTTACTTTCCAGTGAGGTTCCCTGATGTGAACAGGTTAGTAGCTGCTAACCTCTTTCTCTCTTGTGTATATTTTTTAATGTTTTGCTTTGCTTTACTTTGCTTTGCTTCACAGTGATCGCCATCTGTAACTTTCCATTGGGTCGTTCCTGTGGGAGAGTTAGGGAAACTATTACCCTTTGGGTACATTTTCTGGTGCAGAACTAAGGAACCCAAAAGCAAGAAGGTTCTGAGGCTGCTCAGCCAGATTTATTTATAAGCAATGCTGTGTTTCTGGATACGTTTATCTGGATATCCCATCAAGTTGTTCACAGGGTTCTTTTTTTTTTTTTTTTTTTTTTTTGACTGCTCAAAAGATGGAGTCCTTCTTTAAGAGAATGCCTGCTCAAATACAAGGGGTCCGGTTCCTATTTGTCCTGTTTTTTGTTTTTGCATTCATGTCTCTTCCTCTTGATCAGTGGATTCCATTTGTTCCACAGTGCCCAGAAGTGTGGCTGCTTAGTTGACAACAGAAGTAGCAGTCACTTTAAGAAACCTTCCCCAGGAGGCCTGATCATCCAGTGTTTGCTTCTTGAAGTTCTAGAGAAGACACTGAGAGAGCTGTCACTGGAGTTCCTGTGGTGTTTCGTTTTCGGTAACTCAAAGCAGCTGTGAGGGGACTCCAGTTGTGTTGAGAAACAGTTCTAGACATGTTTAACTCTACCTTTGTGCCCTTTAAAAATTATTTACCTCTCTATTTTAATCATGGCTCCCTAAGCACTGTGTTGTCATGCAAACAGCAGCTTTGAGGGAGGATGACTTTGATTAGGAAATTGGTGTGTGGAGGGAAGTACCACTTTCCTCAGCATGCCCCAAACCGATTTTAAAAGAAGGAGAATGCATCCAGTCACTGTTATATCTACCTTGGCCTTTACAATCCTTTCCCCTCTTTCCCACCCTAAAACTGGATATGTAAATTTGGATGTGTATGGCTGAGGGTTCAGCACACTCCCTCCCCCCTTGTTTTTCTTTCCCAAACCACTGACTTTTGAGAGGTAGGAGGCAAGCCTCTGAATTGTGACTTACACAGAGACATAATGGGCAGCCTCCTGACGAGTGGTAAGCACGTATCCATTTTGCATATGATTGAAAGATGTGGTAGGTCTGCAAGGAGGGATAAAATGAAATACCCCTCTACTGAAGAAGCTGACTGGAAGGAGTTAGTCCAGAACAGGTTCAGTGTGTAACCTCCATGGTGAGTCCTTAACACTCCCAGGAGTGTGACCTCTAATTATTTAAGTCTTCTCTCTGAGCAGCTATGAAGTAGAAGCCATGGTAGCCCAAAGATGAAGCACATGCTTCGCCTATAGAAGAACATGGCTGGTTCCACCTTTCTTATTTCCTTGATGTGCATTTGTGTATTGTGTGTATACATCACGAAACCTGGCGGATACATTTTGCATATGATTGAAGGATGTCGTAGGTTTGCAAGGAGCCATTTAGTATCATAAAAATCCGATTAAAATGATTAGGAAACAAGTGTTATGAAAAGACCTCAGGACCACTGGAAAATCACTGCTAGCCAGGAATGACAACTCATGATTAATCTTTCGGCAATTCTTCCATCAGCTTGTCCATTAATATTATTCTCCATGTTCCCCAACTATCTGAGATAGGATAGGGAGCTGGCAGGGTAAGGGCCTCTTCATGCTCTTTGCGATACTCTCCCCGAGGTTGCTCGCCCGACACCCAACCTGATGTCTTTATTTTAACAGGCAAAGAGCTTTTCTTAACACATTCAGGCTTTTACAACGTTCACCACTCTTTGGTTCTCCCTTGCATATTTTATGTTCCTTTATACAGTTGCTATTTTTACCTTCAGCTGGCTGGATAGCTCAGTGGTCTAGGTATCTGTCTGCAGAGCCAGAGGTTGGGAGTTCGATTCCCTGCTGTGCCTCCTGTGAGTAGAGCCAGCCTTGGGTACGCTTGCAGTCTCAGGGCGCCCCAAGAGGAAGGGAAGGGTAAACCACTTCTGAGTACTCTCTACCTGGGAAACCCTGAAAAGGCTTACCGCTAGTCATAATTGGTCTGATGGCACATGATTATATATATATATATAATAATCAATTATGACTAGTGTCATAAAAGCATCACAACATATATTACCTTGTCGTGATGTTTTTATGTGGGTTTTCAAAATTAAGTCAGTGGTTCTCAAATTTTGGCCCTCCAGATATGCTGGATAAATTTCTGCAAGCCTTGGATGATGTGGCTGATAATAAAAGCCTCCAAGAGCTGAAGCTGAAAACATTCAGAAAGTCACATGTTGAGAACCACTGGTATAAGACGTTCTGTGAGTTAGGTAAACGGTAAAGGTAAAGGTTCCCCTTGACATGTTTAGTCCAGTCATGCCTGACTCAAGGGGGCGCTGCTCCTCCCGCTTTTCAAGCCGTAGAGCCAGCGCTTGTCTGAAGACAATCCTCCATTGTCACGTGGCCAGCGTGACTAGGGAACACCGTTTTACCTTCCCACCGAGGTGGTACCTATTTATCTACTCACATTTGCATGCTTTCGAACTGCTAGGTTGGTGAGGAGCTGGGACAAAGCAACAGGAGCTCACTCCGTCATGTGGATTCGATCTTATGACTGCTGGTCTTCTGACCCTACAGCACAGAGGCTTCAGCGGTTTAACCGGCAGCGCCACCACGTCCCTTAGGTAAATGACCCAACCTGATGAAAAGCAGTTTCCTGTATTCATTACCTATTTTGGGAATGACTGCGTTAGACTTTTGGAAGTATAGCAAGTTAATTTGGCCTTACAGTATGTTTAAGCAATCTGAAAGCTTATAGAAAGTTCTAAGTTTTTGAGCAGCTAAGCCTGATAATTTTGGCCATATGTATGCATTGCTGAGATTTTGTTTAGGCAACATGTATAGCAAGAAGCATCCCAGGCTCAGGGTGCCAGACTTAATTTTAATGTGATGTGTTTTAGAAAAAAAAATAGTCCTTTTATATTAAATGCAGTGTTGCCAAAGAACACACAACTGACATTCTTCAATATATTCCTTTCCAACAAAACACTTTTTTTAAAACAAAGGTTTTAGTTCAGCAGTCAGTATGTGAATTATGGGTGCATTTAAAAATCTGATATCTTTTATGATGCTACTTGCTATATTTTAAAACAAATGCTGTATTTGGAAACCAGTTGTGGCTGCTGACTGTAAACAAGATGACAACGACCGATTTCTTAGAAAAGCAACAGTGCATGGAGTAAGCAGTGTGTTTTTAAGCTTTCGCTTCTCCTGATAGTTGCAGCTATTCTTTTCCGAGCAAGTTTTTGTGTTAAATAAATGTTGAATGCACCTGTGGCGATTGAATGCAGTTTATTAATTTAGTCTGCATTACTCCAGTGAAATCTAGCTGAATAGAAATGGAGGAGAAAAAGGTTAAGAAATAGCATGGCCAAACTTAGATTCATAAAGCAAGCTCTTTGCCCAGAGTGTTTTTCGAGTTATTTTCAAATGGTAATTTGCTTTATCCAAACCAAACTCATACAGTGTAAGTAAGTGATTATTTGCATGACTGACAGTCATTTGAATGCCTGCAGTCTTTTAAAAATGCATAATTTTGCTGGGATGTTGGGGAGGGAGGATATGAACAGAAAAATCACCAAGGTGATCTCTTCCCCCCTCCTCTGCCTCCCTGTCTTTATTTTGACCTCCTTTTTATTTCTTGTCATTGCCCTCAATATGATCTTTGTTTGTACATGTGGCAGAGGTGAGCTGAAAGTAAAAAAGCAGTCCCATTAAGACTGGCTTCGTGGAATCTAAAAGAAGCCCATGTTTTAAGTTAATATTGTGACAACAAAGTAAATAAAAGACATCAGCATGTCACATTTGACCCTAGAACTGGGCCAAGTAGCAAGGGCATTTGACATCAGAAATTAAAATCGGTCTACTCTATTTGTAATCTTTCTTCACCAAGGCCCCATACATGGTGTTGTACAAAATGTGGACACATACTGTACTTCGAAACGATGGTGCAACAGATGCCACAGCTGAGAAGGACAGCAGCATGGGGGAAAAATGTTTTGATTAGTGTGAAAAAACCTTTGTATCTGTACATGACTTTCTTTCCTCCCAGTCAAATTTTAGTGTCAAATGATCTAGAACAGGATTTTGGTTTTTTTTTTTTGTTTTTTTTTGAGCAGTGACAGTGAGTTTTTGTGTGAAATGTTCTTCCCTGTTTTACTTAGGGCTAGGAGCCTTGGTGGCTGTTCTGCACTCTCTAAACCAGGGGTGTCCAACCTTTCACCTTCCCTGGGCCACATTATAAGATGAAAATTTGGTTTGGGCCGCACATAAATTTGGTTTGGGCCGCATAGGGGGGCAGCCCTAGCCGTCGTCCGCAGCTCTGCTCCAAGCGCGCTTACCGGCATCTGTGGTCTCAGACAGCAGAGGCTGTCAGCTTCAACTCTGGTGGCTTTATGGGGCTGGGAGGGGGTCCACCTATTGACAGGGAAGGTGCAATACAATCACGCAGCCCCCCTCTCCCCTCCCTTCCCGCTCCTTCCTTCCCTCTCGCCCCCCCACCACCGTTGTGACGTGCCCTGGCAGCATTCTGGCCGCAAGCGCCGGCAGTGTAACTTGAAACTTTGGAATTTCTTTAAAAATAAAAAATTGCACTGGGCCACATTACGAACTGACCTGGGCCGCATGCAGCCCACGGGCCGCAGGTTGGACAAGCCTGCTCTAAACTGTCTGCAGCTGACTGTGGGGCGGAGTAGGGGAATGTGAACTAAGGTGTATCCATTCTAGGAGTGTGCACACTGAAGTACATTCTTTTTTACACATTAATCAGGATACTTCCATAATTCTGGCATATTGTTTCATGCTAACAGAGTTGTTAGAAGTTCTGTCCTGGGCTGCAGCATCTCACGCCACAAAAAAAAAAAAAATCTGGACTGTGTGAAATTATTTCCTTGGGTTGTTACATCTGAAAAAATTGAGGACATTTTGCACCAGTTTTGGCTCCTCCATGTGAGCCACCACAATGCC